GCAGAGAGAAAGTAGTGCCTTACCATGCAACTTTACTCAGGGACTCTCCTTATTTGGGGGGTGGCTGATGACATCTTTCCACATTCTGCCTATAATGATGTGAAATATTTTTTGTTGTATTTTTGGGTTGAAAACTTGAGCTTGTAGATAAGGAAATTAACAGGAAGCTGAATTGGCTGGAGCAAATTCACAAGGAATGCCTGGATGCTCAGAAATCTGACACAGGTCCCAAGATAAAGCTGGTCTGTGAATCCCTGTGGTTGACTGGTTGTTGGCGGGTGGTTATGACACTCACTGGGCTCTCTGAAGGAATGGGAGCTACCCCCAACAACACTGCTTAATCGCGTACCAATTATAACTTTATCCTCACATTCTGTCTCACAAAATGAATAGTCTCCATCATTTGCCCATAATACATAGTCATTATTTCAATTAGCTCAGTGTATTCTCAACTGCCTCTTTTTTATATGCATGTCAAAGTTGGTGTTTTCTCTCTGAGATTCTTAGCTTCTCCACAATATAAGCCTCATTTGCTCAGATACTTTATGTAGTATCTTTCCATGCAACTTTACTCGGGGGTTCTCTTACTACTTTTGATGATGGTGTTGAAGACCACTGACCAACTGTCCCACTACCAAAAGCCAGAGCCTCCTATCCTTTGTGGGAGCAAACATCTCAAGGCCTGCATGTCACACCATGGGCTGACTATAACCTTGGGGCTAGTTAATCCCGAACCTTGTCTGTTGCAAACTCTTCTCCTATTACTAAGATGTCCCTTTGATCTTCTGACTTCCTGCTTCCTGTGTTCCTGTTATTTATAGTATCCCAGGGATGAACCACTCCCAAATTTCTCAAGAGGATTTACAGTTGCTACTTGCAATTCCTCACCCAGCTCATGTCTCCATCCCTTGCAGCTTGTGCTCTGCTATAACCCATCTGCTGTTCTCCCAGAGCTGGACAAACACATCTTGCTCAGTCCAAAGGCTTGTTGCTCAGTCCTTGGCTTTTTGACCAGTTTATCTTGACTCTTAGCTTTTGAGACTGCGTTTTCTCCCCTTTCTTCTTTTATTGCTCCTTCTTGGCTTTCTTCTTGTGCCACCAAAATATGAGAAATCTTCTGCATTTGCTTCTAAAAATTCTCTCTCAGTGACCTGATGTGGAACCATAGTCATGATGATCACCTTCCTTCAATGGCCATGCCTCTATTTCCAGCTCTAAATCCTTCAAGTGTCAGATTCATACTCAATCTTTTGCTCTTTCCATCTGATCCATGATCGACTTGGCACTTCAGATTTGATATGCCTGATCCTGAACTCCTGTTTCCCTGCTTGTTCTCTTCCTAATGCTACCATTTCTGTTGAATCTGTACTAGCTCCCAGATAATTCAGAGGAGACTTTCCACATGAAAGGCAAGTTCTGTTTGGACAAAGCCTTGTCAACCCCTCATTTTTATTCCAATTTTTATCATCATATTTTGTCTTCCTTTTACTTGTCTGAGTTTTTGTAACAACCTTCATCTCAGGGGTTTTCAACTTTTATTTTCACCCAATGTACTTGAGGCACACAGCACACTGTAACAATGGCTTGCAGAGCAGCAATTCTCAATTTCTGGTAATAAATGGGGTGCGTAGGGGCATTCCCCATAGGAGTCATATCAAAATGTTTGGGATCAGGGTGTGCAGTTTGAAAAAGCCCTATATGCGATTTTTATATGCCCCAAAGAAGAGGCACACGCCTCGCCCTGCCTCTACTACCTTGGACACCATTCTTCTAAAGGGTTAAAGCCTTGAACATCATTTTTCTAAAGGTTTTGTGGTCACTTTTCATTCTTTATTATATGTTGATAGATTAATTTTCTTGATTCTCAATAAAGATTAGGGTATAATTCTTTCCTTGCTTCAAAGTCTTCAATGGTTCTCTACTGCATCCTGAAAATTCCTACTTCTTAACCTTACATCCTTGATGAATCTTATCATTATGACATCTTAATTCTCTTTTATCCCTACCCTATATTGCAGGCAGACTGAGGAATTTCTCCGAACACCCCAGGCTATGTCACCTCACCATACTACCCTCTGTTTGGAATTCCCCCTTTCTTTACCTCCCTGTAGTGAAATCTCACCTAGATCCAGTATCATTTCTACCAAGTTGTCTTCCTGTTTCTGGGGTTTGAACTCTCACAGTACATTGTTTGCAGCTCTCTTTCAGCACTCGTGTTATACTTATTCAGAGGTATCTTTTCTCTCATAGCAGAGTGTAAATTTCTGAAGACCAGAGACCCACTCTCAATTTTCAGTACCCGGACTTTAATAAATTATACCTAAGCTATCTATAATATAGAGCCCCTGAATTTTGTTTTATTCTTTATTTATAATTTACCCTTCTACTTAAATAAATTTTGAAGTGAGTTACCATATTGAACATAAATCAGAATGTTAAAAATTAGAAACCAATTTTAGAAGACATTTAGATCAGGAGTCAGCAGACTATATCCCATGCCCCAATTCATCCCACATGTTTTTTGTAAATAAAGTTTTGTTGGAACAGGGTTACAATCATTTGCGTACATATTGTCTATCATTGCTTCCATTCTACTGTGACTAAGATGAGTAACTGTGACAGACTGTATGACCTGCAAAGTCTAAAATACATATTGTTGTTTATAGAAGTTTACCATCCCCTCATTTAGATCAATGATTCTTTTTTTTTAAGTTGGAGTCTCACTCTGTCGCCCAGACTGGGGGGCAGTGGCCGCTCCTGGCCACCACAGCCTCGACCTGCTGGGCTCTGGCAATCCTTCCGCCTCTGCCTTCCATGCCTGTAATTCTGGCTACTTGGAAGATCAATGATTCTTAACTGAAATGAGGTAAGAGCGAGAAATACATATTGTTGTTTATGGAAGTTTACCATCCCCTCATTTAGATCAATGATTCTTAACTGAAATGAGGTAAGAACGGGAACAAGCCGGGCTTGGTGGCTCAGCCTGTAATCCCGCACCTTTGGGAGGCTGAGGTGAGTGGATTGCCTGAGCCTGCAGGTTCGAGACCCACCTGGGCAGCGAGACCTCATCTCTACAATAAAATAAAAAAATCAGCCGGGCGTGGTAGCGCATGCCTGTAGTTCCAGCTACTTGGAAGGCTGAGGCGGAAGGATCGCCGGAACCCAGCAGGTTGAGGCCGCGGTGGCCGGGAGCGGCCACTGCACTCCAGTCTGGGTGACAGAGTAAGACTCCAACTCAAAAAAAAAAAAAAAAGAGCGGGAACAAAGGGAAATATGGGTGCTCAGGATTAGCTAGGGTAAGAATCCAGGTGTGATCCTTAATTTTGTAGCCCATTGGTTACTGATGAGAATCTGCTGTTTTCTCAAGGTGACATATTTGCTCAACACAAAAGCCTTTTTGGGGGTCTTTTAGTCACTTCTGAGTCAGTGCCCTATGGTTGTAGTGAATTAGTTTTACTTATATGCCTGTACTGTGTCCTACTAGTGTGGTAGGGAGGAAAAAGAAAAAACTGACTTAGAGAGAAGGGGAAAATAATTATATCAGGAACTCTCAGTGAGCCAGTCACAGGAATTGAGTAGTAAATTTAGTTCTTTAATTTCTAATTGCCAAAGCAAAAAGCAAATATAGGCTGGGTGGGGTGGCTCATGCTTGTAATCCCAACACTTTGGGAGGCCAAGGCGGGAGAATCACTTGAGGCCTGGGGTTCGAGACTAGCCTGGGCAAGACCCCATCTCTATAAAAAATAAAGACAAAAAAAAATCAACTGGCCATGGTGCTGTGTGCCTATAGTGTTAGCCACTTGGGAGGCTGAGGCAAGAGGATTGTTTCAGTCCAGGAGTTTGAGGCTGCAGTGAGCTATAATCGTACCACTATACTTCAGCCTGGGAAAAGCGCAAAACCCTGTGTACAATCATCATCATCATCATCATCATCATCATCATCATCATCATCATCATCATATATACTGAGTCAGGTAGTTCTACTTGGTTGACATATGGAAGAATACCCATTTACTTAAAAAGAACAAACTTCTCAATGCTAAAATTAAGGAGGAATTTCTTAAATTGTCTCTGAGAAACATAGTAGACAATATATTCAGCTACAATTTTGCAAAAGATCTAGCCAATCCATCGAAATGGTGAATACTCAATACATTAAGTTGCAATTCAGGAAGTGGGTTAGTATAGTTGTTATGGAGATAGGGCCTAGAAAACCCAGAGAATTGGGTAGTGAATGTGCTCCTCCACTGGAACATTAACTGGCGGGTTTTGACCGGCCCTAAATACAGGTTACTTAGGGGTAGAGATCCAATGGATGCTGCTGCACATGCAGGTTTTCTGGACTGATGACTAAGTGATGTGTGAACAGGAGGCAGTCAGCAAAGCTGGCATTCTGGTGTGAAAACAGAGAAGCCGTGTGCATCTTTGCTAAGCTGACCAACTCAACTCTGCATGGTGGTGGGTGGGAAAGGGGGTGCAGGGCAAGTTTAGGTAACACTGTGGGGGCTGTAACATAACTGAATGAAGAGTAATGATGGCAGTAAATAGATCGTGAACTATCACTTGAGTTTATATGGTTATTAACAGTTACAAAAGTCATCGTTAAAAAGTTATTTTGGAGTTCAGAAAACTGTGAATGATGTCACTCTAACTACCCACTCATGATGCATGTTTAATTAGATTATGGGTGGGTTTGATTTGAGAGAATTAACATTTGGCACCTTTTTGCTAGGCCAGCAGAAAATAATGCAAATTATAAATATGCCTGTGTATTATATTCTTAGACAAGTCACTTTGAAGATAAGAGCAATCAAAGCTCACATAACACTGAAAATACATATTTTGAAGTGGCAAATATTTCCAACAGTTTATGGAAGGTTTTTGTGAAGTGAATATAAAGTTTATATTTTCTTTTTTCTATATAGTGTACTCCAAGGTAGCAAAAATATTTGTTGGGTATCATGTAACAGAATAATTCTATTTTTAATGGTTTTTTTTTCCACTTGAAAGCAGGTATTGTTTATTGTTAACTCACTGGTTAACAAAAATAATCATGGCAGACACCTTAGTTCATCCTTCTAATAAGCCTGTTGATCTGGTCTTCCCTGTTGCCAGCATCCGCACCTTCTACAAAATGGGTGGTCTTTTTCTTCATTCCACCTCGTGGAGAGGTTAATTTAAAAGGCCAGAGGAAGTTATTTGCTTCTTTGAAACGTTTTCCAACAGTATAGATCTCATGAATCAGATCCTCCATGCAGATGATGCCATATTTTACCAAGAGATCAAGCAATCAAACCATTATCTGTCAAGGCAATTCTCTTCTTATTAATTTTGCCATAACCACGCTTGTAGATTAGTTCATTTGCTGAGTTCAGGTTTGGGTACCCCCATGCAATGTTCGGTTCTACAATCCTCAGCATGTTCATTGAAGCCTTGTTGAGCTTAACAAAGGTTCCGTTGAAGAGCTGACGAAGGCGAAGATGCTGCAACGCCTTCCGGACCTTTGGGCTCACACCATTGATACCTCTGATCCTGATGACAAACGCCAATTTGGGTTCTGCAGGTACATAGAAGTTGCCAGCTTTTCTTGCCATCCTAGCCATTCGAATCTCAGTGCTGTGCATCTGCCTATATTCTTTGTGATAGTGCTTAGCTTTTTCGTAGATAAGCTTCCTCCTTGCCTTTTGAAGCATTTTTTGGGCAAACTTCTTTCTCAGGCGCTTTATCTTCAGCTCTGCGAAATTCCTTCACTTTTTCTTAAGGGTTTCTGGCACAGCAGGAACCTTCTTTTTCTTCGCTTCGACACCCTCCATGGTTCCAGCCGGAAAATTTTTAATGGTTTTTTTAGTCTTTCAAAAAATTCTGAAAACACTAATGTTCGTAATTTAGTATAATTTTGGATCACTGCATTGAATGCTGGTGTTATATTGGTGAGAAGATATGTTAATAAAAGGATTTTAGGAGTGATGTTCATTAAAATATGATTAAAATGTCATTTCTCAGTCTAGCAGGCCTATGTTAATCTTATTCAGATGACATTTTTTCTTCCAAGCACACTGAAGGCAGGGTTGTCTCAGGTGGGGTCTTGTTGTTGAAACCTCTTGGCATGATCTACACACAGTTAAAGCCCATGGTACAGCTGTCAGTAGACAAGGAGGAAGAGGTGTTGCTGGTAAAGAGGCTGGAGTAGAGAGGAGCTCAGGTCCTTCAAGAGGTAGGTCCAGAGAAGGCATTGTTATCACAGGAGATGACAGCTATATGTGTGTTTTTCCCCCAAAACCTTGCAGTGAGACAGGATGTGGAGGTAGAAGACAGTGATCCTGACCTTGTGTAGGCCTAGGCTAATGTGTGTGTTTGTGTCTTCATTTTTTAAAAAAAAGTTGAAAAAGTAAAAAATAAATTAAAACATTTACAAATAGAAAAAAGGTTTTAGAATAAGAATATTAAAAGTATATTTGTCTATAGCTGCACAATGCATTTGTGTTTTAAACCAAGTGTTATTACAAAACTTAAACAAAAATTAAAGGGTAAAAAAGCTAAAACTTAAAACAAAATAAAATGCTTACAGTTAAAAAGTAAATAGTTATGGTGAGCTAATGTTAATTTATCATTGAAGAAAGAAAAATTAAAAAAAACAAATTTAGTGCAGTCCATGCACAGTATTTATACAATTTATAATCATGGTCGTAATTCCTAGGCTTTTGCATTCACTCACCACTGACTCACCCGGAGCAACTTCAAGTCCTACAAACCTCAATTCACGATAAGTGCCCCATATACATATATAATTTTAAAATTCTCTACGCCATATTTTTACTGCATCTTTTCTTTGTTTAGATATGTTTAGGCACACAAATACCTATTATTGAGTTAAATTACCTACAGAATTCATTACAATAACATGCTATCCAGGTTGGTAGCCAAAGAGCAATAGGCTCTACCATACAACCCAGGTGCGTAGAGGGTTATACCATCTAGGTTTGTGTAAGCACACTCAATGTTGTTTGTGCAATGACAAAATCACCTAATGACCCATTTCTTAGAACATATTTCCATTGTTAAGTGACACACAATTGTATAATTTATTTGTAACTATGATAGAGTTGAATGAAACTATAGTCAACTTAATACACATGATTGTGTTTTGCAGAAATTTAATTGAGCACATAGATTTCAGTTTTGCAATTTATTTTATTACATACTTCTGAACAAGTTATTTTTCTTCTAGGACTTCAACATTTTCTTAAATCCTTAAAAAGCAGCAAACTCAGATATTCTACCTATGGTGTGGAATATCTTTTAAGAAAAAAATCCCTGGGAAAATAAAACTCAGTTCACTTGTTGGTTTAGTAAATTCTAATTGAACACCTCCTCTGTGTTCCATGCTGTCGGTGAAGATGAGGTGGTGAACACAGCACAACTTCTGCCCATATGGAACAAAGGGGCAAGTGAAGAGGGACATAAATGAACATTTCCCCTAATACATGGTGGCAAACAGTGTTGCATGCTATGGAGGAAATGTGAAGGGGATAACAGAAAAATTAAATGGAGGTTCTAAGTTAGATTGTGGATAGGCTCAGAGAATTCTCCCCTACGTTCGTGAATTTTGACTCGCAGCTTAAAGGATGAGTAGCAGTCAGCTAGGTGGAAAACATTCAAGATTTGGAACACATAGGTGAATGTCCTGATTGGATAAGGGAAAGAAGATTAGAAAAGAGGGTGAGAATGGTTTAAGAGGAGAACAAAGAAGTAGCAATCGCCAGAGTATATAGAACCTCTCAGTGTGTAATTTTATCTTAAGTGCAATTGAACATGATTAGAAGTACATTTAAAAGCATATAACACTTGCCTGGCATGGTGGCAAGCACCGATGGTCCAAGGTACTTGGGAGGCTAAAGCAGGAGGATTGTTTGAGCCCAGGAATTTGAGGATGTGGTGCACTAACTATGCCTGTGAATAGCCACTGTACTCCAGCCTGGGCAACATAGTGAGACTTCATCTTTAAATTAGCTGGGCGTGGTAGTGCACACCTGTAGTTCCAGCTACTTGGAAGGCTGAGGCAGAAGGATCGCCGCAGCCCAGCAGGTTGAGGCTGCGGTGGCCGGGAGCAGCCACTGCACTCCAGTCTGGGCGACAGAGTGAGACTCCAACTCAAAAAAAATAGGCCAGGTGCGGTGACTCATACCTGTAATTTCAGCACTTTGGGAGGCTGAGGAAGGAGGATTGCTTGAGGCTGGGAGTTCAAGTCCAACTCAGGTAACATAGAGAACCTCTGTCTCCACAAAAAATAAAAAAATTAGCCCGGTGTGGTGATGTGTGCTTGTAGTCTCAGCTATTCAGAAGGATCACTTAAGCCCAGGAGTTTGAGGTACAGTGAGCTATGATTGAATCACTGCACTCCTGCCTGGGTGGCAGAAGACCCTGTCTGAGAGAGAGAGAGAGAGAGAGAGAGAGAGAGAGAGAGAGAGAGAGAGAGAGAATGAAGATCGAGTGAGAGAACAATTAATAGGACATTGTAAGTACCCAAGTAAAGGATGCTAATAATTTAACCTTGATTGTTAGCAGATATATTCTGGAGATATAATCCACAGATCTCTCAAGTCAAGGCTAACTCTGAGGATACTGGCATGGTCAACAGGGCATATATAAGTCAATTGCTAAGACAGAGTATACTGAAAGAGTAGCCAGTACGAGGTGGGAGGGGATATCAGAAGTTAATCAGGACTAATTTGAGATACCTGTGAGACAATCAAGGCAAAACATAGAGTACTTAGTTGATTATGCAATTCTGAAGCCTTGAAGAAGAGTCTAAGCTGGAAATACAAATTTGGGAACCGTTTCATATATTTGGAATTTAAAGCAATAGGAGTAAATAAGATTGCCTAGGAAGAGAATCTAATAGAAGAAGAAAAGAATGTCCTGAACAATTAATATCAGATGGAAAAGGAGGCACCAGCAAAAGAGACTGAAAAATAGCCAGAGAGAGATGGTAGCAAAACTGTAGGGGTGGGGCGCGCTGTTAAGAAAGGTAAGAAAGGAGCATGTGGTCACACGTATTGAATGCTGATGAGACATTGAGAATGATGGAGAATGAAAAAGGTCACATTCAATCAAGCTATGTGAATAACTTTTACCAAGAGAATGGCCTTCGTCGGGGCAGATCCCTAATTGGAGAGGATCGTTTCTTGAGGTCAAGAAGCTAAGGCCAAATGTCTAACTTTTGAAATCCTTGACGGGACAGGGTCCTGGAGGGAAAGGACGGTAGCTGAAAGATGACACGGGGTCTAAGCTTTTCCCCAGACTCCCCGGTGAGAGACACTTAAGCATATTTGAATGATGATGGAGAGAAACTTGAAGATTGGGGTGATGCTGAGAAAGAGGGACTTATTGATAGGGATTCTGGAGGGTTTGAGAACTTGGGATCCAGGGTTTGTGTGTAAGTCTTGGTCTTTGAAAGGAAAAGAGACATTTCTTCACTGTAGTTAGAGAGAAGGGGGCAAATTGTTGCAGAAATAGCTTTTGGTGTTAGGAGGATATAGTTAAATGCACATCATGTAATATTTATAAATAAATGTTCATGTTACGATCATGATTCATAAACTCCAGTGAAAAAGAGGAAGACTCGCAAAGCATAAATTGGAAGTAATTTATGTAAACATCAGTTTGGGTGCTCCTGTTTTCACATCTCTTTCAAACAGAAATGTCTTTAAATTAAAACAAATGCATCTTTTCTTGCATCTATACTTGTGTTGAGTGGTTATTATATTGTTGCTGGTTTCGCTTTTCTCTTTTGGCTCTGATCTGCAATACATCAGTTTTCTATAATCCTACCAAGTGGGAGAATAATCATTCTATGTACACAAACTTCAGTGCTCATAAAGATATTCATTTGTAATATTAGAGCTGTCACATACCTTCCCCTTCATCTAGCTTTGCAATTTAACTCTACCTGTGGTTGTAAAAAGGAGCAAACTTAATTTTCCTACCTACTTTTCTGACAGTTTTAAAGTTATATAAATGTAACTTTGCCTACTCTGGCAGTTCCAAAATGTTGTCAGACAGCCAATCTAACAAGAGTAATGAGATTGTCTTTGAATTCAATGATTCTGCTTCATTCATTCCTGTAACAGCAAGGCAGCTGCAAAATTATATCCTAAATTTTAGATCCTATTGGGTAGAGTCTTTCAAGTCACTTCTTGCGCCTCCTTCTCCTACACAGGTGTGGTTAATCAGCACAAAGTTACATTCTGGCATCCTTTTTCCTGCCTCACCAGCATTCCACATACAGCCAGATTATTTTCTGTGCCTAAGCCTGTATTCTGCTTGTCTCCAGTTGTCTTACACACCATAATAATGGTAATTGCTAAGATTTATTTGAGTAGTATTTTATAAGTTTACAGTTACAGTTTTCAAGATCCTTTCCCATATGTTTCTCTTAACAATCCTGTGAGGAGAGCAGTAGTAATTATTAGTTATCCCTGTTTTCTGGATGAAGCTACCAAGGCACAGAGAAAATGATTTACCTAAAGCTACCCTGTAACTGCTAGAACCAGGACTTGCATCCACATATTCTGACTTCAGATCTGTTTTTTTCTAAAAGCATGGTGGAAAACACAGAAGCTTTGGAATCAAATAGATCTAGATTAGAATTCTAGAATCTTACAATCTGAGCCTCAGTTCTTCTGACCAAAAAGTGGAAAACAGTACTGAATCTACATAATTTTTCCTAAGAAACAAGTGGGATCATGTATGTAAAGTCCCTGGTAAAATGCAGGTACATGGAATAGTGCAAAACAACCTTTTATTATTTCTA